AGGTGAAGAACTTTGAAGGACTTTTTTTATGTTTTGTTTTATTGTAAGAGCTTCATTAAAGGGAGGGAAGGTATCCAAGAGAACAAAGTTAAGGAATTTGCAGCTGCCCTGGAGAACTAGGGGCATCCTCAGACAGAGGCCTCTCAGACTCAAACTCTCTCCACTCACCCCAGCCCCAAACAGTTTTATATCTAATTCCAGCAATAGACAAAGCTGTAGAATCAATTCTTCATTTTGGTCCTTGTCCCTAAAATTATGTAAACCTGAGGGTGCAGATTGGGCAAAACAGTAGAATCCCTTTGTTGCCAGCAAAATAGCCCACAAAACCTATAGGAAAGCAAATAGATGAGGTTGGAATTCAGGGAACAGTTTGTGTCAGACCCTGAGCAGCTATTCCCTAATTACTAGCAACATTTGAAATCCAGATATGCTAGTAAATTCTCAGGATTGATTGCCATGTATTCTGTTAATACATGAAATATTAGCCAAATGTTGTTAAAGAGTAACTTGTGTGACAGTTGTTACTATATTTTAGTTTTAATACAACTTTGATTTCTGAACTGGCTTTTGTGTGGTGCCTTACAAAGGGTTAATTATTATCACCAACTTGTACTTGAGATTGATTTCCAGAGCATTTAAGGATTGTTGACTTTATCAGATCCAAATTTGATTTTAGGAGAGTTTGTGAAAAACCTTAGTATTTCTGCAGGGAAGAAGAACAAATTGGCAAATATTGAAGCACATAAAGTGACCTAGTTGAATCATGCAAGCTGTCTTTAGCAAAAGTCTTAATTCCTTCTTTCTTTTTTCCCTCTCTTCCCTCTATATTTCTTCTTTTCCCTTTCTCCCTGTAGGGTAAGGTAAAAGTATCAGGCTTTTCTGCCCTCCCGGCATTAGGATAGATGACGGAACCCTGCGGTCCCGAATGCATGCCTGATGGCGGGCACCTGGAGTAGGGTGTGGGCCTATGTAGATGGGATTCACCTGGGCTGAGACTGTGCTTTTAAGGGCGGCGTCACGGGGACCCCAGCAGAAGGAGAGAAGCAGAAGCAGAAGCTCAAGGGAGCAGAGCAGCAGAGAACACCAGAGAACCCCGGAGAGCCCAGATAGAGTGAAGACTTTCTGGAGGCTGGGAGCCTGGCAGGCCTTCCGGCCTTCCAGCCCCCCAGCACCCCTACCTGCCATGTACCTGGTAAATCCCAATAAAAGCTTGTAACAGCCACCAAGGGCTCCAGGACTCTCTCCTCCTTCACCTGTCTGCTTGGGTCATAAAGATCCTGCTCTGTGTCCTTTCTGCCCCCTACACTCTCAGTAAGGTTGCATTTTCAACATAGAAAAATCTATACTGATAAATTTTAGAGACTGATGTCAAAGCATTGAAAATCCCACCAAATTAATTATTAAGAATTTAACTTAAATCACATTCTAATGGCTATTGGTGATTAATTATTTATAAGAGTAAATCATATATCTTTGACCTGGTAAGTTTTTCCCTTAGGATTTTGTTTTCCTTTCTATGTGTATTTGTTTTTTATCTTAAACAACAAAATGGTGGGGGGTGTTAACCAGAGACAGCGGGGAACAGAACAGGCCGACTGACTGAAATACACTGCTGAGAGGAGTAGCAGGCGAGAAAGGAGGGGTCTTCTGCACCGTGTGGGTAGCTCCCTGGCAGGCTGGGGATCAAACTTGTGCTGCAGAGGCTGCAGCTAGCTTCACAGTGTTATGCTAACCCCTTGCACCACCAGGGAGGCCCAATGGTGGGATTTTAAATTATGAATAAAACCACATGAATGTTCCTATAAGCAACAAGTTTTTACCCATCCTAGAATGCCTAGATTTTAAAGTACTGTATACTAATAAGTTATTTGTAGGACTGACTCAGGACACATTGATCAACTGACACTCAGTAACGAATTTCTTAAATCCAGAAGACACATTTAAGATATAACCTAATCTGCAGAAGTTGTACTGGTACACTTCTTGGATTCCCTTCCCCTTTCATATCTAGTTGAAAAGATGTTCAAATGACCTGTTTTTCCACTAAGATGAATGATTTAAAACTTGCCCACCAAACACCTAGATAAGTGATAATTAGCAGTAATTAACTGTCTAGAAGAGGCTCTTTGAAGTGGTCTGCAGGCTGCTCCTCTGTCACCTCCATTGTGGCTCTGCTCCCCTCCCCTGGGAGCAGGTGACTGACACCTGGCAGATAGAGGGGTTATGGGCAGGCTTCAAAGACAAAGCTGGTCTTTTGACTACAAAGGCTCCCTGGGAAGAGTTACTTCAAACTTTTATTAGCCAAAGTCATGATTATCACATAATCCTTTGGCAGGATATATGGGTGGGAACTGTAAGATGTATCTTTAAGACCTAGGAAAGATACAGGTGGGATGCAGCCAAAGACATACCTGGCCCAGTCCCTAGTTTTGCCTAAGATTTGCTGCTCACTTCCTTCCCCATGTTTCTTTTTTTGAATTTTAATAGCTTAATGAAATATTTTTAGACATAAAGAAAGTATATAACATGTATTTACATTACAAGATATAGTGAGAAGCATCTGCGTGTGCCACTCAACTTAAGAAAGAATAGCAACAATAAACCAGATGCTTCTTATGTCTTCTACCCCAGTTTGCTCCATTTTCCCACCAAGCCACTTTTCTGTGATTGTGATGTTCTGTCTTGAGCTTTTACTATACATGTGTTATCTATAGACAATATATTATTTTATATTTTTTTTAAGTTTGTATATATGAAGTTGTACTCTGCTTTTCATGTTGACATTTGGAAGCAGTAGGTTTTCTTGTTTGCCTCTTTTTAATTAGTTGATTGTGCAGCTTCAATTTTACCTGGTCAATTGAGAATGTGAAATGAACTAATTTAACTTAATAGAAACATAGTTAATCTGGATTGAGATTTTTTTTTTCCCAGAAGCTTATTAAAGATGAAGTTTGGGTTATCTTATCCCATTTCATCTCAGAAGCATAATTTGGGCTTTCATTTCCCCTGCTTTATCAGAAAAGCAGATTAACTTAAAATGCATTCTCTGTTCTCAGCTATGCCTTTCTCATTGTAGATTTAAAAATAAAATTCACAGAGGTTAATGGAATCAGAGGATAACCCCTGAAACTATTTCTAACATCATTAGTCTAAATAATTCATGACGATTATGACCTCTAAAATGAAGGATTACCTCTTAGCTAAATAATTAGAACATATATTCTTATTTTGATTTAAATTGTTGCCCACATAAATGTATGACATATGTTAAAAAAAGAAGAAAACTATTAAAGAACTCTCTGAGGTTCTGTTTTACCTGATGGTTCCAGTTATAGAGTGGAACATCAAGTCAAGCTGAGCTACTGTCAGCAGATCTGACAGTTTGTTGCAGAAATGTGAGCTATTTATTCTAGAGGAAAAATAATACTGATAGATTATTGCGGCCATTTTTAAAGGAAGAAATTGAGTTGTAAGTATTCTGCAGTTAAAAGGCCATTCTCACCCTGTCATTCAGGGATATGAGTCAGCAATATAGGACTTGATCTGAGCTTGCACCAACCAGAATGTGACACACAGAAATAATGAAATAATGCTCTCGCTGTGTTCAACATTGATAAAGGCCACTTTAGAGTCTAATTTTCATCTCCATGTTTTAAACTCGATATTAGAACATTGGAGATGGGCCAGAGGAAGGGAAGGAAAATGAAAATGTGAAGACTTATCTGTACCTAAAACTGAAAATGGAATTCATTAAAATCAAGGAGAAGCAATGGGTAGCATCAAAGTGCTTTTGAGTACGTCTCCGTCTAGAGTAAAGTTAGGACTGACAGATGCTTCTGTTGCCAGGGCTGGTTGAACGTACCACTTCTTAGCTCTAGCACCTATTTATTGAAAATGGAGGAGTATGAGGGCGTGTCTGACTCAGTTAATTCTCAAAATAACTCTCCAAACAAATATGAGCCCCGACTAAGGATAGCACAGGCTTATTCTACGCATCATGAAAAGGGGAGGCTTCCCTCTCCTTTTGTTCACACTGAGGGTGGGGCTAGACTGCTGTGGGGAAAGAGGTGAAGAGAGTTCACAGCCTTTAAGGAGCTCACTGTTGAGAGATTGTCTACACTGTTATTCAATATTGAAAGATATAATAGGAGTCTGTTGTGGATTTTGGAGTCTGCAGGTTTGGAGTGCGGGGTCCTTGGGTTCACTCTGGGGAAGGTTTCACCAGAGCTCCCGTTTCAGCGACACGCGGCGAGTTTCCCAGGCCAGTTTTCCAGGAGACAGAGACTTTAGTTATATTTAAAGAATGGGTTTATTGGAGAAAGGGACAAAAGAGTAAAAGACATTTGCATAGACATAAGCGGGCAGGAAGAGCTGCCCCAGAAGGGACAGGTTTGCTGAGACAGGCCTGCATGGATGCAGGCAGGCAGCCTTGAGGAGCGCGGCCTCCGCTGAGGGAGGTCCGTGAGGAGAAGTCCCGGCATGGTTGCAGGTTACGGGCAGGCAGGCAGGAAGACAGGAAGCTGCTGCCCTGCAGAGGGAGAGAGTTGGTGAAAAGAGGGACCTGCATAGTCAGTCACAGGTGGGCAGATGGACTGCCATCCTGAGCCTGTGCAGACACTGAACTGATATAGTCTTCTTCTGTTTGGGAGGGGCTCACTCCTTATGAGCTTTCAGTTGGTTGCTAATTTTGGATAACTATGTAGAATTTGAAAGGGACCTGGAGATTCTACAATGGGCTCAATCTCCATATCTTTACTTTTGGATGAGCCCTCTGATAACCTGCTTGAATGTTAGGTGTCTGGTGCCTAAGGATACTAGTCTGTGCCTAAGGATACTAGTTTCCACAACTGTGTCATCTGCACCTAAGGATCTTAGTTTCCATAAAGCTGTGTCAATGGCTATGCTAATCTCTTCTACCCCCACTTCCTTGTGTGAGCCAGGTTTCTGGTCTTGTGGTGCACCTCCTTTTTCAGTTTTTTTCTATTCATGTCCTCCATCAGAGTCTATCAGTTAAAAATAAGGAGCAAGAGGACATCAGAAAGATGAAGATAATGTTCTCAATATGAATGGAATGCTGTGTAGAGCACCAAGTTTGGACAATGGACAAAGATTAAAATTGGATACTTAGGTAGGTGAGAAAATATAAATTTCTTTTATCCAGTAAAGGAACTTATTTGTCATTCTGTTTTCAATAATGAGCAATTTGGAATGAAACTATCAAATTTGTGTCTTATGGAGAAAGTTTGAAGACGGACCTTGCCAGATTACTATTAGGGGAGGGAGAGGCTTGAATAGATACAGGGAGAGTAGTAAAAACTTACTGAATAGACAACTGTTTTAGGGAGTATCCTTGGAAATAAAAGCAGATAGGTGGAAAAGGATACAAAGAATTTAAGAGGCAGAATCTATAGGTCTTGGTGAGTCATTTGGGGAGGGTATAGTAATACAGAGTGATCTATGAGTCTCGGGATACTTCAAGGTGGTACTATAGACTGAGAAGAGAATTGGTGGGATTAGTATTGTATGGTTATAACAAATTACCTCAATTTTGGTGGTACAAAGCAATATAATTTTATTTATTTATTTTTTTTTTTGGTGGGTCCCTCGCCGCCTGCCGGGGAACGAACTGGCGCTGCCTAGGCTGTGGGCAGCCTTGCAGCCCAATGCTCAACCTCTGCACCACCAGGGGAGGCTCAATTGTTATCTTTTTTTTAAACTTTTATCTGTTTATGTAAGAACTGGGGTACAGGCCAGAGGCGCTGGAGAGTGAAAGAATTCACCAGAGACAGAGTGGGGAGCAGAACAGGTAGACAGACCGAAGACACTGCTGATGGGAGCAGTGGGCGAGGCAGGAGAGGCCTGCCAGGCCATGTGGGTATCTCCCTGGCTGGCCGGGAATCAAACCCACGCTGCGGAGGCTGTGGGCAGCTTCACAGTGTGGCGCTCAACCTGCTGCGCCACTGGGGAGGCCCACAAAATTGTTATCTGACAATTATGAATTCAAGCCTGAAAATGGGTTTCTTTGGGCTGACATTGAGGTGACAATATGGCTGTGCCCCCTCAAAAAACTCCAGGGGAGAATTCTTTCTTGCCTTGTCCAGCTCCTTGAGACTATCCCTCCTTGCATTCATGATCCCTTTTCCTATTCAAAACCAGCAGTAACCACTCAAGTCTCTCCTACATGGAATCATTCTGTTATAGGACAGGGAGAGGGGCAGCCCAAAACCCCGCAAACCTGCCTATTCTAAATGGGTTCTGCCATCCGCCGCATCAACACAAAACATATGAGACTTTGATGGGAAGGAACTTTAATAAAACTAGGAAACAATACAGGTAAGGCAAAGAGTCTAGTTTCTAAATCAAGAACCCAAAGTTACCCATCCCCTCGTGGGTAAAAGTCCATCCAAATGGGATTGGCCCAGAGAAAGGCCCCAAAGCCTGCCACAAGTCTAAAGCACCTTCCAGTGGGGACCCACAGAAAAGGGCCAGAAACAACCAGACAAGCCCGGAAGGAAAAGAGCAAAATCAACATCAAGATGAAAGCTGCCATTGTCACCTCCCCACGGGTCTCACCCACATCTGTGTCACCCAGTCCACGACCAAAAGACAAGCGCAGTTTCTTCACGTGTCTCTAGGCTCCATGCGCCTCCTCCAGGTCTCCTGGCTCCATCCTGCTTCTTTCCATCCTCAGTCTCCTCTCCAGCTTCTCTCCCTGCTCAGCTCCACCCTCCCTTGGGTGGGGCAGGGAACCCGGAACTTCCCCCTTTCCTGGGGACCATCCTGTTACAATTCTAACACTGACTCTTCTTCCTCCTGCTTATAAGTACCTTTGTGACTACATTGACCTCATCCAGATAATCACAAGTTCCATTACATCTGTAGAACCCATGTTCCCATATAAAGTAAAATAATCAACAATTATGGGGTTTTGGATGTTGACATCTTTGGAGGACCATCATTTAGTCCTTCTCATTTGGAATTGAGAAGGTGAGCAATTGATACATATAAAGTTAGTAACAACCCGAGAATGGTTGAGTATATGCTCTTTAGCTGAAGATTTTTATCTATAGAGAACTTTGTGACACAGGACAGTTTAGTGTTGAAGCTATACATGCTTGTGAGCTCTGAAATGACAAAATATGTTGCATGAGATAGCATGACAGCTGACTGTGGAGGTATGGGGGGGACCACTGAAATATAAGGGAGTGCAGAAAGAGAAGTCTGCAAGATGAAGGATCATTAGAGAAGTGGGAGAAAAACCAACAGTGGATATCTCAGATATCTAAGAAGGATACATTCAAAAGCAAGGATGATTCAACATGAGTAGCAGGGGGAAAAAAGTAACTACTGGATGACATCAAGATGTAAAAGAGGTTCTATACTTCATTCCAAAGAAAGACAACTAGCAATTAACCAGAGGGGCCCTAGAACTAGCAATTAACCAGAGGGGCACCAGACCAAGTCTAGTCCATGGTATGCAGCACCCCTTGTGACTTGGAGACTAATGCAGACTATACCAGAGATTCATGCCTCATTTGACAGAAGGAAGATGGAGAGAAATGCCTGGATACCACAGTCCAGGGCAGAGAATGCACACTCAAGAGCAGACTGCCCCGCCAGAGACTTTGGGGAAAGTGAAAGAGGAAACAGTGTAGACTTACACACACTTGATCTAGGCCACCCCCATATGGAGGATATGGGTTGCACCACACAGACTGTAATATTCATTATAAGAACAACAACGGGGCCCCGCTGGTGGTGCAGGGGGTTGAGCACAGTGCTGTGAAGCTGTCCACATCCTCTGCAGCATGGGTTCGATCCCTGCCAGCCACGGAGAAACCCACTTATTTCAGTAGACCTCTGCTGCCTCGTCTGCTGCTCCCCTCAGCAGTGTATTTCAGTCAGTCTGCCTGTTCTGTTACTCGCTCTGTCTCTGGTAAAACCTCTCACCATCCTGCACTTCTGGCCTGTACCCCAGTTCTTGTATGCATAAATAAATAAATCTTAAAAAAAAAAGAACAATGAATACACTCTCTGTTCTCCACTTTTGGAGACTGGTACTAACCAAGTGAAGTGTACTGACAACAGACTGCTAAGTCTCAGATCTTGGACACCAGAGGAAAAAATAGCAGTGATGCCACAGCTCATTTATGACAGTGGAGATGAACTTTCAGCGACGCAAGAACAGTCTCTTCAATGTTGGGAAAATAGGACAACCACATACAAAATAATTAAACTAGACCACTATTAACATCATCCACAAAAATTAATTCAAAATGGATTAAAATCTTGGATGTGAGACCTGAAGCAATAAAAGGCATAGAAGAAAGTACAGGCAATATGCTCCTTGACATCAGCTCCTTGACATTAGAGATGTGTTTGGGGCACATGTGAACTCCAAGCACAAGGGAAAACAAAAGTAAGCAAATGGGACTATGACAAAATAAAAAGCTTCTGTGCGTGCACACACAGACACACAAATACCTAGAGGGTATTATGCTTAGTGAAATAAGTAGACAAAGATAGACATACACCATATAATTTCACTCACATGTTGTACATACAGAGAGTAAACAGACTAAGTAAAACAAAAATAAACTTAGTCTATAAACCCAGTTTTTGTTTACAAGAGAGGCATGAGGGAGAGAGTTTGGGTAAAGCAGGACAAAGGGAACAGTGATGTGGGAAAGGAAAGCAGCAGTGAGTCTAATGTAGTATGTACACTCAGTGATTTTCAGTAATGCACAGCAGAAACATAATTCTATGTTACTTCACTTTTTTTTAGAAGTGGGGTACAGGCCAAAGTCACGGGGGGTGAGAAGAGTCACCAGAGAGAGTGGGGAGCAGAACATGCAGACTGACCAAAATACACTGCTGAGGAGAGCAGCAGACAAGTCAAGAGAGGTCTGCCGCGTCATGTGGGTATCTCCCCAGCCAGCCGGGGATCAAACTTGGGCCGCAAAGGCCACCGACAGCTTCACAGTGCTGCACCCAACCCTCTGCATCACCAGGGAGGACGTGTTACTTCACTTGTTTTTAAAAAAGAAACTAAAATATATCCCTATTAAGAAAGTACTAGGTATGTCAACTTCTTTGTTTTACATGTTCCTAAAATCCGTAACTCTAGTATTTAGAATGAACCAGAAATTTGTCACTTCATTCTTTTTGAAATTGTACCCAGATTTTAAAAGGTTTATGTTTGAAGTTCACTTTTCAATGAGTGTGTCAATAATGGTTGGAATATGACCTTTTTGTGCCATTCGAACCTAGTGTCATTTTCTCTTGTTAAACTCCATAGTCTGTTCTACTTAATATCCCCTTCTTAACAAACCTTGACACAATTGTAATAGAACTATTCATGCTGCTGCACATAACAAATTACAGGTACATTTGTTTTTTAAAGGTTTATTTATTTATGCATATAAGAGCTGGGCTGTAGGCCAGAGGTGCGGGGTGGGGGGGGGGGTGGGGAGAGGATTCACCAGAGACAGAGTGGGGAACAGAACAGGCAGATTGACTGAACTACACTGCTGAGGGGAGCATTGGGAGAGACAGGAGAGGTCTGCTGGGCCATATGTGGATTAATTCCCTGGCCAGGTTTCAAACTCATGCTACAGTGGCTGCGGAAGGCATCATAGTACTGAGACTTAACCCCTTGTGCCACCAGGGAGGCCTTACAGGTACATTTTAATCCAACATTATGACTGGTCTCGCATGCTTAGACATTTTCAGTGAAATTTTAGAAGAAGGTTGTAATTTGGACTTTATGAAAATGAAAATATGAAGAGGATGAGTATGTATAGTGTGTGTGTTTGTATGTGTGTGTTTGTATGTGAAGTACTTGCTTCCTAACCAACTATCTATGAAGCCAGTGATTCCATTCTAACTTCTGTACTCATTCCCACACAATTGCCCTGAATTAATGGATCTGGCTGCTTTTGGCTTCTGCAGTGGAGGTTGCTGTCAGCTTATGAGCTGGCTGAAAGTAATCAGAGTTTCGCAGTCTGGAGCTTGAGTGCATTTCATGCTGCCATGATTTGAGTTACAGGACGATGGTGGGGCAGGCGTGGCTACTGCCCTGCTGATTTTCTGGTTTTAACTTTTCATTCTATGCACACACAGTAATGT